GACAATGTTCTTATAAGATTTTTCTGAGATGTCATTATTTTAATAATGATGTTTATTTTATTTTGATATAAAATTCTGCCCAAAGCCTCCAGAGTGAGGTAGTTTATACTGTAACTCTTAAAATCCAATAGTGAAATGAAACGATTAGCAACAATCAAACAAAATTACCCCATTCCCAATTAAATAAGCAGAGAAAGAGGTTTATAGGCAATTTATTTATTTATTTATTTATTTGTTTTGATTTATATCCCGCCCTTCTCCCAACGGGACTCAGGGCGGCTCACAACATATTTAAAAACATAGACATGTTTACAACCCCCACCAGATAAAACCAAATTGAACCAATATTTAAAGTTGTGCAGTTAAAATTATTCTTAAAAAACCCGGTTTAAAATCCTCCCTAGGCCAGGCATATGTGGAAAAGACCTATGTGGAAAAGACCTGGAGAGATGGGGCAAAGAGTTAGCAATAGCATTTAGGCTTATATATCATCCCATGAAGCAGTAGGCGTGAGCTTAAACGGACCCCAGAAGATGGTAGAGGACAGGAAGACCTGGAGGAACGTTGTCCATGGGGTCGCGATGGGTTGGACATGACTTCACAATTAACAACAACATCATCCCATGTTGCTTTCTGGGCATTTTACAATTTAAACATTATTTGCATATTTCCCCCAAGAATCCATGCCCTCATTTTACCAACCTCAGAAAGGCTGAGTCAACCTTGAGCCCCATCAGGATCAAATTCCAGGCTATGGCAGAATTTGCCTGCAATTCTACACTTTAACCACTGCACCAATAGGACTCCTTAGGGAACAAGAGATGCTTCTTAGGGAATAGTCAGATAAGCCAAGTAGCTGCATAATGGAGAAACAGCTTCAGAAGGGACCCTCCCTAGTTTCACGGGCTGTAAAGGAGATGGTCAATTTGTACCTTCAGATTTACAAGAGTTTATTAATGTAACCATGCAACAAAGTAGAGTGATCTCATCTGGACATGTTTCCTGTCCATCCCACCTGGTAAAACTGACCAAAAAAAAAAAGGTCTACCTGTGAGGAAGTACAGTTGGAAAAGTCTCCCCTTCTTGCATCCAGAGAGCAGAATTTATGAACCTCAATTGTCTTGAGCATTTCACAAAACAACTAAGCACAATTTATAGGCCAGATATGGACAGTTCCCTAAATCACTTGCTCTCTCTTTTGTCTTAATCCGGGTCTGCACCCCAGGAGCCACACCATCCTCAGCACTCAGCTAATGTCACAGAAACACCAGCAAACCAGAAGGAAACAGGGGGACAGGTGATCGACTATCTTCCTGTGAGCAAGCCTGATGCGGCAGAACTGAAGGACCCACATCCAACCATTCCTGGTCTAGGAGAGGAAACCATGTCAACCATTCCTCCCTACCCCAAAAGGGTTTCCGAATCAGCTGAATGCCCAGGAAAGGTTGCAATAGAGATCCGTGGCCTTCTACTGCCTTCAGGGCCACAGGCTGAAACCTCCCAAACAAAAGGCGATGTACAACTGGAACTTTAATTCAGAGGAAACCTCCCACCCCTCCTCCTTTTCCCTCCCCTCCCCTCCTTCTCTCCCCCCTTTATCACAAGAACAGCAGCTACTTTTCCCGCTCAAGGAAATATTAAAAACATTCAATAAAAGAAACCATGTAGCATGACAGTCTTTGTGGTGGTTATTTCAAAAAATCAAGTTTGTTTGTTTTTTTCCATTTATTCTTTTGAAACAAACACACAGCCTGTGCAGAAGACCCTGTGAGAATGTAAGGCATTTTTCCTGTTGTAAGGAGCGACACCTGTTTTTTCCCTGGATGTTTCAGACTTAGAGCTTGGAGAAAATGTTTGGTTTTTTTTAAATTGGGTAGTAGAGGTTATTTGATGTATAGAAATCCAAACATTTCTTTACTTCTCATAAGATGCCTAAAAAAAACCAGCATAGTAAACAATATTACAAAGTTCTAAAAGGTTATTTAAATCAGGGTTTGCATGTTAGCTGGACTCTGTTTAAAAAGCATTGTAACTGCTTTTACAATATGTTATCTGGGGAATTCTGAGCATTGAAGTCCACATGTCCAACCAACAGTAAAAAAAAACACTGATTGAGACCACTGTTCCAACTCATGGCTTGGTGCAGAAATCCCATTTAAGGTACTCCGGGGGGGGGGGACCTCTACATTTTCCCTGAATATATGCAGTGAAGGAGATCCAAGATCTCTCTTGACCATTGTTTGCCTAACATTGTCACAAGAGCCCTCAATGAAGGGTTAATCTGGAAATTTGGAATCTTTTGCACCAATCTTTAATTCATTTTATATATATCCCTCCATCACAGACATTCTCAGGACCTCAGAGAATAATAATATAAGGATATAAAAGAAAAGAAAACATACTTACAATACAAAACAGTATCCTGTATACACCTCCATTGATTCCAATGAACTTGTCATAGGAGGCCATTTTGAACCCATTGAATTTCCCTTGGGAGGCCATTTTGCAGGACCAGCCCAATGATTGAAAAACAGAGTCTCTGGGCTTCAGTCCATCTGCCTACCAAGAATGTTCTCCCAGCTCAGTCAAAGCGATTGGGACAAATGCACTTTGCAGCTAACCTAGTGCCAAGCACAAAGCACTTTCTCACAACAGCCGCCTTGCGATGGAGGCTGTGTTAGGAAAGGATGTCAGTCCCAAAGACATCCAGTGACTCTCATCCAATACCACTGACCGCACTATACTGAGTCATGATGTGCTAATAAGCTAGGAAAATAGAAAACATGAAAAGAGGGATTTGTGTATATTTGTGCACATGTGCTACTGTGTAATTCAATGTGTGGATTACTTTTGAGGACGAGGGAAGAAGAGGCTGTCCAGGGAATGAGCAGAGAAGAGAGGCAGGAACCCCCAGCTGCTTCACAGACAGAGGAAGACTCTTAGAAAGGGCCCACTCAGATGAATCCAGCAGTTAAAAGAAGCAGGGAGAAGTTTGTCCTCTCAGACTTGCAAAATTCTGTTAATGTAGTCTTAACAATAAAGAAGAATTAGTTCATCTTGTCCTGTTTCCTGTCTGGTTCATTCCAAAGGGTTGACACTTTCCCAATGTGTCTTCTCATCTATGGATGCTTAGCAAACAAGCCATACCTCCGGTGGCCATTTTAATGCAAATGCACCCATAAAATCAACTATTTTCTGACTAATAAGCCTCACAAACCCAGTCATTTTGTAGACAACAATATCTATAGTATCACATAATATGTAATATTGATGGTGTCAGATTGGAATTAAGGAAACTTGTTAAAGGAAATGCTAAGACAGAAAAGTGGCAGCTGTGGTGAGTGTTACATGACCAGTAACCAATGGCGGGACATTACTACCTAGCAATAGGAAAGTGACAAGGAAATAATAAGTTAGAAGGATGCCCTTAGAAGAACATTAGCTAAGGCATGCAGCCATGGGCCCTTCCTGTGCCAGGCCAGCCCCTGCAGCCCTGGGGCAGCCATGCTGGGTGGCGGCAGGAAGGGCTCCGAAGTGGGGCCAGCCTGGCTGACGCTCCTCTGGCTGGAGTGGGGGGCCTTTGCCCTGGGGATCTGGGGAGGCCGCCTTTGTGGGAAGGCGGATGGGCCGTGTGCCCTTCCCACGCCAGGCCAGCCCCTGCAGCCCCGGAGTGGCTGTGCTGGGTGGTGGCAGGAAGGGCGCCACGGTGGGGGTGGCCAGGCCGACGCTCTTCTGGCTGGAGTGGGGGCCTTTGCCTGGAGTGGGGTTCCTGGCCTGGCCAGGCCCACCTGAGAGGTGAATGGGAAGGCGGCAGCCCAGAACCAAAGTGGCGAGATTTTTTTTTTTCCCGCGAGAAGTTGGAATTGATTGACTGACTTTTTTTTTCTCCACAAACTTCTTTTATTTCCCTGCAGTGGAGGAGGAGAAATGGGACGGGGCTGGAAGTCAGGTAAGCAAAGAAATGCAATTCCTGGGGGAAGCAAGAGCAGTGGTGTGGCAAGCTCTCCAGCTCCACGGGGAAGGGGCGGCCGGCATGGGTGTTGATGGCTCGCTTCAGCACCCTCCCTCCCCGAGCCTCCGGCACTCCACCTGCTGCTTTGGTGACTGTGGGCAGAGCTGTGAAGAGAGCCAGGTGGCCAAAAGCGCCAGCAGTCTGGCTCAGGAGTGAAAGAGAAGAGGCTGGGCAGGTGAAGGGGGAACCTGCCCCACTTGTTCTGTGGCCACTTTTAGCCGAGCCACGTTGCACTCGCCAATGGCATGGCCATGAGGCTTGGTAGATCCCCCATCTGACCCACACGAGGCCATACCAAGGCCTCCCACGCTTATGGTAACCCTAACCCCCACACATCCCCAATCCTAACAGGAGATGGGAAGCCCTGGGGAAAAAAACAGGAAAGGTTTGGTGGGGAAGTAAACCGTTTTTCCTGCAAACAGGAAAAAAACTGTCTTTCACAATTTTTCCGGATTTTTTCCAGGCCTTCCCATCTCTAACCCACAATGCCTAGCCCCCAATCCTAACCCACACTCCACCCAGGGCAAGCACAATGCCTAACCTGACATTGTGACAAGAAAAATCATAAAATGGGGCAAAATTCACTTAGCAATTGTCTTACTTAGCAACAGAAATTTTAGACTCAATTGTGGTCTTACATTGACTACCTGTATTTTAGTTCTAGTGGTGAGTCAATTCTACTGAGTCCTACATCTCATTTCTAACTGAAGACAAAAACAGACATAGATTTTTGGTGCAGTGATTTAAATCCAACAACTTGATTGTTGCTTGGTAAGAGTCACCCTACAAACCTATAGACTTCTAATCATTGACTCGGTGTTAATAATGTGTATGTTGAGGTTCAAAGGTGAGGGTCACTGTGAGATAGAAAAAACAAATATTAGCTATTGAGTTAAAGTATATAAAAAAATGTAAAGATCTTTCCTAGCCTTGTTCTTCTAGCTTGGCTCCAGTTGCTGTCTTCTCTGATTCCTCAAACGTTTCCAAAATGTCTCTTTTGATTTCCTTCTTCATTGGGGTTCAGATGCTTCACTCAGTGGTTACTTCTCCACCTTTTCGCTTTCTGCCCCCAACGTGCAACTCTTTGGAGGTAAAGGCTGCTGCAGAAATGGCTCTTAACAAACTCAATGCACATCGGAAAGAAGGCTACGTTCTTGGCCTCCAGCGCATTTTTGATGTCCGTGAACTACCCCAGGTAAAATTTCCATCTCCTATTGACTTTTTTCTTTCCTTCAATCTGATAGCATCTATCTTTAAAGATGTCACATTAAACTAAGGCTATCTGGATTGGTAAAAAAAAACCAGCCATTCATTGCCACCCAATTCTTTCTATAATAATAATAATAATAATAATAATAATAATAATAATAATAATAATAATAATAATAATAATAATAATACCACCATTGGCATTGACAAATTCGCCATTAGTCAATTGCAAAAGGCA